GTAAGACTTAACAGCTGCAGCATCCTAGAAATTACATCACCCGGTCGAGTGAGTTACTTCACCGGGTCGGGTGAGAAGTGACCTGGGACAACAAATCGTGCTAAAACACAAGAACATGGCGAATTGATCCGAAGTTGATCGGTACCCGGTCGGGTACCCGGCCAAAGGTGTTCAAAAACACCTATAAATAGCACACTTTTCCTTCACTATTTTTCATTCCTTCTTCCATACTCTTAAGCTCAGTTTAAAATAGAGATTTCCTTATATTTTTATAGCATGTTTAGTCTCCAAATGAGGAGCTAAACTTCCATTTCTTGGTTTTGCTCTTGAAGCTTGCTGATTATTAAAGGTGTGAGTTATTTTCTTAACTTCTCTTGATTATTAATTCTCCCCTTAATCTTATTTCTATATTAATGTTGGGGTGTTGCTAAGTGACGATTAGTTAACGCTTCGGCATTAATTATTACTGGAAATGATCAACAAGCCGATGGTTAATCGTTGATGGTTTCACAAGTAAGTAGCTTCGGTTTATCAATACACGGTTGTGGTTAATAAACTTAAGAGGGATTAATTTTGTTGGTTAAACCAAAACCGTTGTGTTGAGGTTATCGATCTCAATTGATTTCATTAAGGAGTTAAAAAGATTCAATGCTACTATTAAATCGGTATACAACTTTGTTCTATATTTGATTAATAGTAAGGGTTGTTAATGAACGGTCGTTGTTAATAACTACCCTCGATGAATTGGAGATACTCCTCGATTGAGTACTCGAGAGGGGATAATTTAAAGATATACGAAGTAACAACGATCGACTAAATATATCAACAAGTGGAAAGTAGCACAACCAAGTTCATTTTATCTTTGAATTAAATCACATATAAGTCGTTCAACTTGTTTAAATTAATTAAATTCCAATGAACCCAGGGCCGGCCATGGGGGCATTTGCCCTAGACACTTGTCTAGGGCCCCCAAATTTTAGGGGCCTCCCAATTTTGAAACATGCCAATTAGTATTATACGTGTATCCCTAATGCAAATTGTGATTTAATTCAATTTCCAACTCAATAATCGTGTAAACATCAATCCATGGGTGACCTTGATGGAGCAGACCGGCAAGTATGGTGAAATTTTCAAATATTCAATTTTAGGTCTTTCAAGTATTGAGGTGTTCAAATCCTTCTATATATGCTTCATGCGATTCTTAATTATTTCTTATTTTCTTATTTCTTTATTGGTGATTACTTTATGTATTTATTACTGGAGTACTGCTTTAGTTTTTTTGAATGAATTATGTACTTTAGTTGTTTCTTTCAACTTGCAGTCGGCTAGTCCCTAGTACAGTAGTGTTATATGTAAACTTTACAATTGATTACTCCGTATTTGATTGTAATAATTACTTTTGTGGGTGAATACAACTTAGAAATTTTTACATAGTTGGAGTTTTGATTTGTGAGTTTGATTACGTATATACGTTAAGTTTTTTTTCTAAAAGTCGTTAAGTATTTATTTATGAATCATTTACATTTTTATTATTATTTTATATATACTCCGTATAAAATTGTAGGTTGTATGACGGAAAAACAGAAACCTGATTTAGAATATACAAACAGAAATTTGAAAGAAAAGACCAAGACGAAATAAAACTTCTTTTAGGACAGAGGAAATAATTTACATTAAATAATCAAACTAAATTTAAATTAAATAATCAAACGAAAGGACGTAAACCTTCTATGTCTCTCCATTTCACACTTAGGGCCCGTTTGGTATGGTGTAAAGTAAATACTTTGCGTGTAAAGTGTGGGGATATAAACATTTTACACCGTTTGTTTTAACTATTTAATGTAAACTGTAGGACACTTTTTTAAACTCATTTTACACCGTACCATGTAAAGTATTTTACGTGGAGGAAGGGTTGTAAACTACTTTACATCCGTTTATCCGAGCTATAATATATATACGAAACACTAGTTTGCGATTGAGACCTAGACGACGGCTATACTTTGGAGATTCCACTGTTGCGGCAAAGCAAAAAATTGACGGCGAAGAGGCTCATGTTTATTAGTTACTCTGCACATCCATATTTATACATATGTCAGAACATTGGATCTTAAGCTTTAAATTACATTTTGAGATTTGATGTGCATATGGAATTAAAAGCTTAACTATAGCCACTATTATACTTCGTATTTAGTTTTGAGATCAAATATATACGCACTACTCGTATAGTTGTCTTCTAGGTAGTTGTTTTTTAGTGATTTATATTTTTCTGGAAGCTTCAAATAAAGTTACGAGTACAACTTTGAAGTGAGTAGTCCTCAAAATTAAAAGTTGCTAGCCAACTGTCAATTAGAAGCTCTATGGCACGTTCAATGAGTATTTTACATGTAAAGTGTAAACTCGTTTGAGAAAGTTTATGTACTACGTATAATTTAAAAACAAATTACCGACCAAACGGTGTGTTTCTATTTTACATGCAAACTATTTTACGGTACTAAACTTTACATGCAATCACTTTACATGTAAAGTTTTAGAGCATCTCCAATGCTAGAATGTACACGGTGCACATGTGGCATGAAAGATAGCCACATAAACATTAGCAAATAAATTATTTCTCTCCTTATTCAAATGATTTTGTATAATTTTGGTAAGATTTTCTCTACAATGTCAACAACAATGTCAACATCTAGACGGTCTTCTTGACATTGTCGAGAAAAACTTACCAAAACCATATAAAATCATTCAAATAAGGAGAGAAATAATTTATTTGTTAATATTTATGTGGCTATTTATCATGCCACATGTGCACCGTGCACATTATAGCATTGGAGATGTAAACTACGGAACGGACCCTTAAAATAATTATTTTGCGCCCTACGCTCCGGAATTAGCTTATGAATTCCAGAGAAAACGAAACAATATCTTCCTGGTAACCGCCCGCACATCATTCCCAGCGCGGGTGCCGCGGGCCCGCCCCATTGCCTGGCCTCAAGGCTTTCCGATCTGAGGTACACCTTTGCAGGAGAGCATCGCGGGTGGCTCTGAAACCGGATGAGCTGAATATATCCATCAACTGAACTCCCCACTTACTAGTTACTTCCCCCGCCCCATAATTTTGCAGAAGATATCAAACTCACCATTGGGTTTCTAGGTTTTTTTCCCCGGTGAGTTTATTTATGTTTCCTTCGCATGGTGCCCTTCGATGTATGAAAAAGCTTCGACTTTTCGTGGGCATTTCAGCTAGTAGCACCATTTCAAGGTCCTGTAAGATTTTCTCCAGTTACATACACTGCCTTGAAGAATCGAGACGGAAGAAACCCCATAAGCTAGTTAATGGACATCTTGTTAAATCTGGGAATTCAGTCAACAAATATGAAAACTCGGAGAAAGTTAATGTTTACATGAGGGATTTAGTGACGAGAATATCAAATATATTGAGATACTCAACTTGGGATTCTGCTCAAGGGCATTTAGAAAAGCTTCCAGTAAAAAAATGGGATTCATATACAGTCAACCAGGTTCTCAAGACTCATCCGCCAATGGAGAAGGCTTGGCTGTTTTTCAATTGGGCCTCCAAGCTCACAGGGTTTAAGCATGACCAGTATACATACACGACTATGCTGGATATATTTGGGGAAGCTGGGAGGGTTTCGTCAATGATGTATCTTTTCAGCCAAATGAAAGAAAAATGCATCAAGATTGATGTGGTTACCTATACATCTATTCTGCATTGGCTCTCCAACATTGGGGATGTTGAAGGGGCTATGAAGTTTTGGAAGGAGATGAGAGAGAAGGGCTGCTGTCCTACTGTCGTCTCCTATACAGCATACATGAAAGTTTTGTTTGACCACAAGCTTGTTAGGGAGGGTGCTGAGGTGTACAAAGAGATGCTTCAATCCGGTTGTTCTCCCAATTGCCACACATACACAATCCTTATGGAGCATTTAGCCGTCACAGGTGAAAAATGAAAATATTTCTTTCTTGATCCACTTTTAATTGTTTCAATCTTTATGGCATACAAGGCAATGATTTGTTTATTGATTGTTAGGCCTGCTTGATTTCTTACAGATTGTGTTTTGTTCTCTTATTCCTGGTTAGCAAACATACTTCAAGTCTAAACGAGCTGGGCATGCACACACACTACTTTTGTCCCAAAAAGAAGTTCACATTTTGACCTAGCACATATTTACACAAGATAGGTTTTTGTTTTGACTTTTCAAGTATACCCTTGCATATTAAATTATTCATATCATGGAAACAACTACTTCATTTTGGGACATCCAAATAAGGAATGTTAGAACTTGTTTTGGATAAAGGGTCTTCCTTAATTCAGTAATTACAAAAGTATATGTTATTCAAAAAGTATAATACATTTACTTAAATCATTTCATTCATTCATCATTTTCATTTACCCCAGTGCCGCAAAGGCTCCCACCTACGGTGGGGTAAGGGGGGGTCGGATGTACGCAATCTTACCCCTGTACTAAAGCACATAGAGACTGTTTCTGGATGACCCATAGTGAAAATCGCGTCCAAAATTGCATGGACTGACTACTGCTTCATAACAAAGAAGAGCAGACAGTTTAGTGAGCCATTTTGCTTTATTCTATCATATTATTAAGCCAAAAAATAATGAATCTTTGAGTTATTTAAATACTGTGAGTTATTTCTAGATTCACGAATAAATAGTGAGATATTTCTAGATTCATTAAAAGAAGGATAGAATGTACTACGTATAACTTACAACTTCAATGATAAACTCATATTTTATTATATTATGATTATGAACTAGCGTATTTGCCTACAACAAGCTTGTTCACTGGCTAGTGAATTGGATATTATTAAGCATGAGTTAAGCTTACCTACTTTAATAAGATCTGATGAAGTCGAGCTCTGAAGAGTGTTGTTCACTGATTTATTCATAGCTTTGATTTACAATAGTTGAAACATTTTCCAGCTGTACACTTGTATAACATAATTATATCCTCCTATTTCGCCATATTCAGGAAAGTTTGATAAAGTTGTAGATATCTTTAATAAAATGCAAGAAGCAGGGGTACAACCAGACAAAGCTACATGCAATATTTTGATTGAGAAATGCTGCAAAGCAAGGGAAACAAGGACCATGAGGAAAATTCTTGAGTACATGAAAAATAACTCTCTTGTCCTTCGTTACTCAGTGTATCAGGAGGCTCTTGAAATATTAAATATGTCAGGCGTGAGCGATGTTATTCTTCTTAAGCAAGTTAACCGTCACTTTTCATCATATCATTGCAATCAGGAGGTGCAGCCATTTGAATCTAATTCCACTATTATGGATGTCAGATTCAAGCTTGAAGAAAAACTTGTCATGTATTTGTTGAACAAGCATAACTTGATAGCCATTGATCATGTGATAACTGATTTGCTGGGGAAATGCTTTGGATTGGACTCTGGAATCATCTCAAGTATTATTGAGGCAAATTGTAACTGTGGGAGACAAAATGGGGCTTTATTAGCATTTGATTTCTGCAAAAAACTTGGCATAGACATTGAGAAAACCACATATCTAACTTTAATCGGTGTACTTGTCAGACAAAATTCTTTTCAGAGAATAGTTGAGGTTGTTGAAGCAATTTTAGGTGCTGGACAAACTCTGGGTTCACAACTTAGCGCTCTTCTAATACAAAGGCTTGGCTGTTCAAATGGCCATGCTTTTGCTGAGAAGGTATTTTGCCTGCTGCCTTATGAAGAAAAATGCACTGTTGTTTACACTAGTCTAATCCGTGCTTACTTCTCGTCTGCTAATGCTAACAAAGGACTTGAAACATTTGAAAAGATGAAAAAGGAAGGGATAAATGTTGCTTTAGGAACATACTCCGTCCTATTAAATGGCCTTGAAGAAAATGGCAGAGCTGGTGAGCTAGAAATCTACAGGAAGGAAAAGAAAATCTTGGAAGCTGAGTACCATAACAAAGAGCTTACAAAGGAGGAAAGACTATGTGACATAATATTTGGTGGTTTGAGAGTGTAGGATGTGTGGTATGTGGAAATCAAAAGTTAAAACATGCTTTCTCTATTGGAATTTGCGCGAAGCTAATGTAAGTTAACAAATTGACTGTACCATTACTTGATTTGCATTTTTATTTGTAATTCTTCGTATTCTTGATTATTATGTGTGTCATGTTTCTACCCAATTTTTTGTATTCTCTTACTCTCGATGTTGTCTGTCCTTTTTGAAGTTGTTATATGTCTTGTTTAGTTGGTGACTTGGTGTTTATCGTCTAAACAGTTTTTACCACATTATTCACACTACATTTTGCCATTGGATGCATTTTCCTATTACTTCAATCATTTACAAAACTTTCAAAGTTTTCTGAGAGATCACTAATATTTAAGTTTTTACCACCTCCAAACTTTGCAATTTTTTTTTAGATGAAATCTTCACAGGAACAACCTTTCTACTACTTGGGATAGATGTAACTATGTAAGGTCTGAATAGATCTCATCCTCCTCGGGATCTACACCCAATTAGGACATATTGGGTGTGTTTGTTTTGGTTTGTTCATGAAATCATGTAAAATTATTGTCTAAACAGTTTTTACCACATTATTCACACTACTTTTTGCCATTGGATGCATTTTACTATTACTTCAATCATTTACAAAATTTTCAAAGTTTCCCAAGAGATCACTAATATTTAAGTTTTTACCACCTCAAAACTTTGTAATTTTTTTTAGATGAAATCTTCACAGGAACAACCTTTCTACTACTTGGGATAGATGTAACTATGTAAGGTCTGAATAGATTTCATCCTCCTCGGGACCTACATCCAAGTAGGACATATTGGGTATGTTTGTTTTGGTTTGTTCACGAAATTATGTGAAATGGGCTTGTATGTTTGTTGTTTACTTCTATTTTTTTTATAATACCATAGAAGAGTTCTTAAAGGAAATTTATTCTGTCTCAAACAATTGGAGGAATCAAGTGGAGCCCTATAGCATGGGCATCATGCCTGGAAGAAGAGATAAAAAGAGGTATAAATCTGTTTTAGTAGACTTTGGTATGATCTCAATTTCTTTTCAGGTAGTTTGAAATATGCAACAATAGAAACTTTTTATTTCTTTCCATTCATACCCTTGGTCGAACAGTTCGACTTGTCTGATCGTAGTGAACTTTTCATACCCTTTCCTTTTATTTTGAGGGTACCCTTAAAATTAAACTTTTTATTTCTTTCCATGAATCTCTCACACTGTGTGGTGCAGTTTTTTGCTTTGGGAATCTTTATTGTTTTTCATTTATTTATAACATTATATTAAGACCATTGTTATTAGAAGCCTGTAGCATTCATGTTATTACTTTTACTAATACAAGACCAAGTAGTCACTGAGTATTTCGAAGCAAACGGTCTTAATTTTGACTGTACAGCTACCGAGACACCTAGTAATGATTTAGCAACTTAGGCAAAATAGTAAACTAAAGAAAAAATAATAATGTGTTTTCAAGAAAATATCTCATCAGAAGCTCTTATAGCTCAGTGTGAATAAGGTGGACAAATTTATTCTTTTCTGCTAGCTCAGCCTCTATGTGCTGCATAACTTTCTGCTCAGATGAGTTGAGACATTCAGCAGACGGATGTACATATCCATAGCCAATTCCGGTGACGGAGTTGCAGTAGACCTCGGCAGTGCCATCTCTAGTCTCCAGGTTAATGTTGTTCAACACAATGTTTCTACAAGGTACACTGTTGCTACATGCAAATTTCATTGCATTTTGACTCTTTGAAGTTCCACTGATGTTCTTGTAAACAATCCCACTTATTTGTACTGCAGATGTCTTTCACATAGGAAAGAAACAGCTGTTATTTATTAATGAACGTTAATGCTATAAGATTTCTTTTTATAGTTCCTTCAAACTCTTTAGCCTGAGTTGGTTGTACCTGGTTTTGGCAAGATTTTGGAGAATCACAATAAAATTGGTCAATGATGATGGGGTTGGATACATCCTCCATCATTACATTCTGGAAACGTATTGTGCGGACATAACCAGACCCTCCCTGCAAAATAAGGACATAATAGAGCAAAGTTTGTGCTTAGTAAATATAGTTGAAACCAGCACCACTTTCAGAAACAAGTTTGTTTTAATAGTTTTTTTAATTTGTGGGCCTTTTTCAATATCAATCATGTAATGGATCATCATGACAATAAAGAATATTTAAATACATTGAGGTTTCATGATGCTTTTAAAGTACATGGAAATGATGTTTGATGATGACTGTTATAGATTTTTTTTTTACTTTAACTCAATCCTTCTTAAAAAGAATGGGTATCTTGTGTGCGTCGCCACATTTTTTTTGCATGAATTGAAGGTGGTAGTTTATATTATACAATAGATTAGCTATAAAAGGTTAATGCCACAGACCCCAAGTAGTTCGAATTAAGGAGCTGATCTAATTGGACTTTATGTTGACACTGAAGTGCCTTGATCCATGTTTGCTTTCTTGTTGTACTTGCATATTATTATTTTAACAACCGTAATTATATGGAAATGATGTGGAATCTATGAATGAAAGAACATCAATACCTGCCAGGTCTTAATTCGAAGGCCATTGGTAGCATTTCGTATGAAGGCAGTATCCAATGCCACCTTTGTCACTATTCCAACAGAGTTGTCCTTTCCAAGGCTCCCAATGCTGGCATACAAAAAATTATATTATGAGACAAACTATTATGGGAACTACTGTATGAATCATTCCACCTTTAGGTCTACAATAGATCAGCTTCATCACGATGCACTACAATCTGCAAACAGTCCTTAATAAATGAAGTGAAACGTTTGATTGCATCTACACCTGATTCCATGGCCAGGTCCACAGTAGATCTTCTTCATCATGATATTCGTGCTAGCATTCACAATTGAGATACAGTCATCACCTGTATATAGAGAAATGGAAGATCATTAGATATTTAAGCGGTGTGCTCTTCACCAACATGTATGCGTCTTTTCATATATACTTTAGGATATAATTAACAATAGGTAGTAGGTAAAGAGGGTTAGTTTGGGGGACCTGTTCCTATTTGGCAGCTCTGGAGTACAACATTTTTTGACTCAGTTATATGAATTCCATCTGTATTAGGGCTGTCTCCTGGGGAAGAAACTTTTACGTCAGAGACACGCACAGATTCTGACCGAGATATGGTGAAGTGCATCTGTTGGCTGTTCTGAATTGTAAGGTCTTTAACCTTAATAGCAGAACTTAAATCTATAGTAAAAGCCTGCAATTAACATGTCAAGTTTGTAAGGTCATCCAAAATATTTAGGTTATGTTTGGTTCCTGGAAAATAGTACGGAAAGGGAAAAAGTATGTCTAGGAAAACTATTTTCTTTTGTTTGTTTTTATCATGAAAAATGTGAAGGAAGATGAAATATTTCCTCGGTTCACATTAAGTCGCTCCAATACGTTTTCATGGAAATTAAGAGTAAAGTTGTAGAAGTAGTAAATAGCATAGGCCGTAGCAAATTGAGAAAAGTGAGAAGAAAAAAAAGATTATTTGCATCTTTTAATATAACAGTGAATAATCCAAAATTGGGGAGTGGAGAAGTAATAAGAAATTTTCAAAAAGGTAAGTGGAGCAACCTAGCAAGTAAAAAAGAACAAAAGTGGTATGATTAATATCTATTAACTGTTTAAATATATTTAGATATCATAGCCTCTATAAAACTAGAAATAGACTAATAAACAGTTTAAACAGAAAAAGGAAGTTTCCCTAAATAGGGGTAATGAGTAATAAGTTAATAACAAGGTGATTTCCCTAAACCGAAGTACTATGTTTTTCTCTAAATAGGAGTAAAAAACAGCTAAGCTGAAATAATACCGTCATCTGATGGCATTATTAGGCTTCAATAAGGCAGTTTAATTGCCATAATATGACAGTATGATCTAGGATGACAGTGCTTACTCTTATATTTAGGAAACAAAGCATAGCACTCCTATTTAGGAAAACCACCCCGTTTTTACTCCCATTTAGGTTTTTTTTTTGAAAAATTGAATCCGAACAAGAATTTATCTTGACACTCTTTTCTCCATATTGTCTTTCACTAGAATTTTTTATGTTCCAAACACACTTAATTACCCCTCCCCCCCAAAAAAAAAGCTTACGGACAAGTAGTATCCTCACCGTTGGTGCTCCTTTGCAAGGCTGTTGAGAAAGGGAAGAGAATAAAACTTGGTGAAAATGGCAATACCAATCAAATATACTCAATTAAAATTCAAGTTTCTGAGTATTTTGACAGTTACATTGGTTTTGTTCTTTTTGCAAGAGGCTGCCCACCATTTTCTTCCAGAGCCATCAAGAACCCCTTTTCCTTGGAATGTGACTGCTTGCAAGTTTGAGAAAGCAAGCCAAACTCTTGGGTTTTTTGCATCCCAGTTTTCAGGCTCATCCGGTGCTACAATTGTTCCTTCAATCTGTTTCGAGCATATCCAATCATTTTATGAACCATTCCATAAAAAAGGTGTTCAAAATAGAAAAATGATGGATTTTTTTGGGTGCAACCTGGACTACTAAGTTGCGCACACAAGGACCTTTAAATCTCGTGGCATTGACCAGGTAACGGCGATCTGATGGAACCAAGAGGACTGATTGTTCTGCAGAACAAGCTTGTGTCCATGCGTCTGTGAACGCCTGGTATGTTGTAAAAACCAATACGGTTTGAAGTTAGCTTAGTTACCATCTATGAAGCACGGATACTTCCCTAGGGTAGCGTATCGGCGTATCGGATACGTTCCCGTATCCGATACTCTAGGATACCCGTACCGTACGTTCCCGGGCCGTATCTGCAATTTTTAAAAGTTTCCATTTTTTTTGTAATTTTTTGAAAGTTTCCGATACTCGTATCCTGACGGATACCCGTATCAACCATTTTTTTAAAAGAAAAAATCCCAAAATTTACTTAATAAAATTCCAAAAAAAAAAAATGAAAATCAAATAATGGGCCTATATGGCTATATCCGAATTAAGTCATTAACTCATACTCTGAAGTGGGTACTTGCACTTTTAATTTCAAGATTGTAGTTGTTTGACTTATTTCACATTTTAAATTAATGACTTATTGACTACATTTATATTTCGAGATACACCAGTGTATATGAGAAATATTATGAATTTATTACTAAGTATCTTGAAAAAGGGAAATGCTTCAATGCAATGAATGGGTAGACATCATAGGATATTATATGTATATATATATATATATATATATATATATATATATATATTCAAAAAAAAACTATTTTTAATATTTATAAATAGACCCCTATAACTTTTAATATTTGTAAATACACCCCCATAACTTTTAATATTTATAAATATGGCCCCGTATCCGTATCCTACTTTTTTTGGTTTTGACGTATCCCCGTACCCGTTTCCGCTTTTCCGCGTTTCCACGTACCGGTATCGGTGCTACATAGGTTACCATAGAACTGCATTTTGACTACAATTTCATCACTAGAAGTGTAGAAAGAATCTATAAATTAATTTTTGTGAATGCAAAATCACCCAACTCATCCTATTGATGTTCAGCTGGTTGCCGCAGAAATATAAAATGCAACTAATATCGGACCAGATGTGAGCTAAATGTATCTTAGATTGGACTTTGGTCAAAAGATTAGATATGTTTTGTTGATTTTCTTCGTATTATATGATCTGTGAAAGGCACAACCCGTGTTATGACATCGGAAAGCCCTTTCTTGGCTTGATGTAATCTCTGGGTGGATTTCCGCCCGTCTCTTTCCTAGTGTAGGACATGGTCTTAGGTCCGGAGTGGAAGCAGACCAGAAGGGTCTGTGTTTTGTCTCAGACATAACCTGAAAGGTGAATGGACGGTCGGTTAGCTTGAAATTTTGCCAGAACTAGTCCTAGACTCCTAGTAGGAAAGGGCAGATTATTTCGGGGTACCTAGATGGGGGAACAGGAACCTTGGCCGGATTGGTTTTAGTTGTGGATTCAGTTCTTGGTTTAGTCCTATTTTGGAGGAACTGGAAATGGTCTCGGTAGTGGGGGATATGCCTGGTTTCGAGTATAAGCTGGGGAGGACTGGGATGAATTGAACCCTTAATCGGTTGTGTCGGTTGTAGTTTTGGACCTGGGACGGTTGTAGTTATGGTTCTATCATATCTGGAGGAACTAGAACTAGGGTTGGGTGGTTCCTGGAACTGAAAATACAGGCAATTGGTCTTTTCGACTCGTATTATTTTTCAGTTCTAGAACCATGATTCGGTTTGTAAAGCTAAATTTTAAGCTCAAGAACAGCATAAAAGTTGACCAAGAACCGGAACTGGATTTGGCATCCCGCTTCCGATTAATGTCCATCAAAATTGGGTCCAGAACTGGATTTGGCATCCCGCTTCTGATTAAGGTCCATCAAACTGGGACCAGAACGGGCCGCTATGAAAAAAAATGATACCTGAGTATCATCAGAAACTCCATCACCAAGAGCACCAAAGCTATCCACATTGACAACAACTTTGTTCCCACGATGACTTGTAAATGATGACGGGAAGTCTAACAGCTCATCAATGCCATCTCCTTCGCCGGTTTCACATTCCTGAATCCCCATTCCAAAACTATTATCTCCGTATAAGCTCCTCTCAGCATATCCAAGAGTTGCCAATGTGAAAACCAGAACCAACTTGTAAATCCCTGTTGCCATCATTTAAGGCTGTAATTGGTTCTTTCTGTTACTTGGTTGAGTTGGTTCATATAATCAATCCAAAGAAGGCAATGTAATTTACTTTTTATATGGAGTGATTACAAGTTTTGAATTAAACAACGGGGGAATTAAACAATGTCTTGGCTTTAAAGTAGATGAAGACTTCAAAATCTCTTACATTCCCAGACTTCTAGTACAAGAATCTGACTTTGGACATCCTTGCTTTACTCTTCATCCATGCCCCAAAGCACAATTTTCCAGTTCTATTGTTTCAAGAAGCTCTTTTTCCGATTTCTCATTTTTTCCTTTATATGTTCAGCTCAATGTTTTGATAAAGTTATGGTGTCGTACGTTGGGTTTAACCACACGTACGAGCCTATATTGGTGCTTACGCAAACGTAATGGTTCATCTGTGTATCATGCATAAAATGGAGTAAAGATCATATCACTCTGCCCAATGGGATTCACACCAGGACAACTTCATTTTTAGCTGAAAAATGAATCAATGATCTATATTTTTACTACTCCGTATTTCATATCAAGAATTAATTATATTCATTACATAAAAAAAAATCAAACTTAATTTCATTTTTAAATATGTTTTTAGTCTCTACAAATTAGTACATTTTATTTTACATTCATCTATATTTTTTTCATTTTTGAATTTCATGTTGGTTTTCTTTTTAGTCCATCACAGATGGCAACAATTTCCATTTGACCTTTAAAGTTTAAATAACCCCGATTATTTGGAAGATATTTAACTTTATTTTTAGACGGTTTTAAATATGTACTTTTAAAGTGTGAATATTTAGTTTTACATTGTTTTAAAATACGTACTCTTGTACTGGTTTCAAAAAAAATTATAAAGAATAAATTCAAATGTTTCTAGTAGATTTATGTAACTGATAATAATGTGTTTTGCAATGATCTTCATATTTACATGGATTGTAAAAACATATTTATTATATGAATGAATTGTAAAAACATATTTATTATATGAATGAATCAATAATAAGAAATTGAATTGAAGTGTCTAGAATCCAATTGATTTAGCGTAAGGGATGCTGAAATTAGAAAATGTAATTAGCACCACGTTAGGTAACCGAAAGTATTTAAAACGTAAAATAAATTGGATTCTAGATACTGGATCCATGATGGTTCCGCCGCCATTTGAAAAGTGAAAACACGGGCAAATTAATTAAAAGACAGACAAATTTCGTGCACTAAAATCAACAAGGTACGAGACTGCCTAACAATCCAACTCAATTTAGATCCATGCATAGCACCAGATTAATACCTCCGTTCTTAAATAAATGCAACGGTCAACATTTCACATTTGCCGAGACACAACTTTGACCATTAATATATACTCCGTATAATTTTGTATTAGTAAAAAAATTATAAAAAATAGATTTAAAAAATTTACAATGAGACAAATTTCACAATATTTTTTCATAAAAGTATATTAATACATTAATTAATAAAACTTAGTCAAAGTACAACATGTGAATAATGTAAAATTCAACATGTTGCATTTATTTAAAAACGGAGGTAGTAACAAAAGCGTAGGAAAAAAGTGAAAAACCGGATCTCGATCTAATGTAAAGGTAATCAATTCAATACAAACATGTCAACATGGCATTTAGGGGCGGAGCCAGGATATGATCGGAGGGGGGCGGGGTGAAATAAAAAAGAATAAGATTTAAAATATAAATAAAATATACATTAAATGATATATTGGTATTCATCTAAAATATTCAAAAGTACATTATTAAACACTGTGTAGGATAAAATTTAGAACATTACATGACTATATCTATCTTGCATGTCACGAAAATCATCGATAAAAGAATCCACGCCAAACTTTTTGGCGTTTTTTGTGTGTAAGACAATAAATACTAGCAAATATCTAAAAATAAAAAAGGTAAACAACTGAACTAAGTATACTAGACTTGCTAGTCAATAATGAATTAGTAATAAACTTAAGAAACTATTTTCAATATTAAATAATAGGTAAAAGGCAAAAAATGTACTCGTAATACTTTACCTCTATTCTAATAGGTCTTGTGGATGCATCCATTGTCCACCAAGGATTTTTTTTAATTAATATACTTGATTTTTGGGCATTGAATTATTTGCTTCCATATTAAAGTGGGGCTTTAGGGCCCAAGTAACAACAAGATACCGTACTAACTACTAGAAGAACTAATATAATAGTCTTATGTCCTAACAAATAAGTACTACGTATAAGATTTGAGGGAGGGGGCAAAAAAAATTACATAATGCTAATAGGTAAAAAATTACATAATGCTTGAATACATAGCTCCGTCCCTGATGGCATTGCAAAATTAGGTTGTCCCAAAGAAAATCAAATCTTGTGTACTCCACTATTTTTTCCTTGTGAGTTTTTTTAAAATAAATTTCTACACTCAAGTTTCATAAAATACACAACATAAATCATTTTAATTAAATTAAAGGCTAAAGCTAAATCATTTTAGTTAAATGTCCGGTCATCGCCACCTCTCCCGATAAAGTGTCAATTATTCATCTGATGTGGCAACTTAAGGGTCAAATAAGCTCCTGACTTTGATCGATCGAGTAGTTCATCTCATTTCTCAACCGTTAGTGTCAAAATTTCGAAAAAGAAAATTAAAAAAATATGAAGTAGAAAATAGAAAATACAATATAAAATAATATAAATAGTAAATATTAATATTTTGCGATAAATTCAAAAAAGATATAAACTATAAGAAATTATTTAACTTTATTTCCTTATTTATAATTAATATACTATCGTATTATATATATATATATATATATATATATATATATATATATATATATATAGGGAACTCTTCCGGTAAGGTATATGAGTATACCTTACCGGAGCCGCCGTGCGGCCTCCACGTTTTGAGGGCCTTCCGGTGGAATTTTTTGAGCATGTTCTTCATCAAGTCTAGTACTTCCATACCAAATTTCAGCAAAAAATTCAATCGGAAAGACAAACAAGTGATTTTTTGAAGATAACTGCACCCTTTATATACATATAAAACGCAGTTATCTTCCAAAAATCGTTTGACTGCCTTCCCGAATGAATTTTGTGCTGAAATTTGGTATGTATGTACTAGACTTGATGATAAACATGCTCAAAAAAATTCATAGAAAAATTCCACCGGGAAGGCCCTTAAAACGCAGAGGCCGCACGGCGGCTCCGGTAAGGTATACCTTGCCGGAAAGATTTCTTATATATATATATATATATATATATATATATATATATATATATATATATATAGAGAGAGAGAGAGAGAGAGAGAGAGAGAGAGAGAGAGAGAGAGTACTCTTCCGGTCAGGAATTCCTGACCGGAACCGCCGTCCGGACGGCGGTGTTTGGATGCCTTCCGGGTGGAATTTTTCGATAAAATTTTTATCACATGTTCTCCATCAAGTCTAGTTTATCCATAAAACATTTCAGCCAAAAACGCATTCGGGAAGGTCGTCAAATGATTTTTGCAAGTTAACTGGTCCGGAAAATACATATTCCGGACTAGTTAACTTGCAAAAATCATTTGACAACCTTCCCGATTGAGTTTTTGGCTGATTTTTTTTTGTAGATAAACTAGACTTGATGGAGAACATGCCATAAAAATTTCATCAAAAAAGGCCACCGAGAAGGCGGCCAAACGCCGCCGTCCGGACGGCGGTTCCTGTCCGGAATTCCGGACATGAACATTTGTGTGTGTATATATATATATATATATAGAGGCCTGATCCTGTCCAGCCGGAGGGACAGGACCCGCCGTCCGGCTGTCGCCATTTGGGGCCCTTCTCGGTGGAATTTTTTTCTGAAAGTTTTTGAGCATGTTCTTCATGAAGTCTAGTTTATCCATACCAAATTTCAGCTAAAAATTCAATCGGGAAGGCAGTCAAATGATTTTTGGAAGTTAACTGCGCAGTTTATATACATATAAAACGCAGTTATCTTCCAAAAATCATTTGAGTGCCTTCCCGGTTGCATTTTTAGCTGAAATTTGGTATGGATAAACTAGACTTGATGAGGAACATGCTCAAAAAATGTCATCAAAAAATTCTACCGGGAAGGCCCTCTGATGGCCTTGGCCGGACGGTCCCTCCCGTCCGGAGGGACCTGATCTTTTCTATACATATACATATATATATATACACACACACACAATATATATATATATACATATATATATATATACACACACACACACACACACACACACACACACACACACACACACACACACATATATATATATATAGGGAAGAGTTCAAATAAAAAGTGGTCTTCCCGTGCAAAGTGCGAAATTTGCACTTTTGCATATTTCGCTTGCACTTTTGCTTGTTTCGTTGCACTTTTTCACCATTGCGATTTTGGCCAAATTCGGCCAAAATGACGGTGGCAATTTTGTAAATAACCCAATTTTATTCGTTACCGCAAAAAAGTGCAATGAAAACAAGAAAACGTGCAAGCGAAATATGAAAAAGTGCAAATTTGGCACTTTGCACAGGAAGACCACTTTTTATTTGAATCATCCCCTATATATATAAATGTGATAGTTATATATGTATACATACATACATGCACGTACATAAACTATTTATTTATTTTTGGGAAAGGATTTTTTTATTAATGAGTGAATGAGAGTACAAATAAAAGATAAAAGAGAAAACAGGAAAAGTAAAAAAAAAAAAGAGGGATAATAAACAAACTAAAACGCCCTACCCTAATTACCAAGTAGTAAAACTCCATATAAATTAAAATAGAGAATTCCATCAAATCTTTATTAGACCATGTGTGATTGGGATTTAGTTCTCATGTGGTGAGGTCATTGGTGCGTTTTCCTGTATCTTTTTATTTGATTCTTAGGATTCTTTGCAGATAAACAATTTTCCTTCATGATTAAGCCAACCTTATTACAAATGTCCTTATTTGTGTTTGAATCCCATAGACCCTCAACCCCTTAAATGAGAGTTCTCTTTTAGCTCTCTGAAAGTCTGAATTGAAGCATGATCAATAAATATGTCTCACGAATATGATAAGGGGCGGATCTGGCCCATGGCCAGGGTGGGCCTAGACCCATGCTCAAAAAAATA